ACTTAATTTCAGTCTTTCCCATCACATAATATGTTCTACAAAAGCAGATAATGGGATTGATTTTACTCACTCCCTGATATATGACTCACTATTGTTCCCCTAGCCTCTAGAACAGTGCCTAGTGCATAGTAGATCCTCAATAAAAAATTGCTTCATGAATGAATGATGCTTATGTGCAACTCTTCCCTAAATCATCCTTGATGTGTCCTATCTGGCCCCAGTCACCCAAGGCTCATCTTTCATACATTTACACTTAGTTGAGCCATGTTAATACATGTGTATCTTTTATGTTCTCTTTATTGTAAGGTAACTTCTATTTAATATATTCCTCCTTGGCCATCTTCATTGATACTTTCTAATCTGAGTGTCTCAGATAGGAAATAGCAGAAGCTCGTGACTGTGAGGAAGGGAAGTACTTAGTAAATTACCCTTCCTCTCTCTCTTTTACTGAACTGCTGGGGAAATCCCTTTGATCATTAAAACCAGAAACAGAGTCAAGCTGGAGGCCACAGACTGTCAGGGTTTGCAGCAGAGCTTCAGCCCTAGATAATGCGGAAAAGAAAATGGAAATCTATAGCTCTTCATAATCGACTAAATTCCTTTACCTGAGAGAATCATAGCACAGGGTGCTCTCTGAGATCTTTGAAGTGATCATCTCACGAATTTCATACTATTGTAAATCATAATTGCAAATTGCTTTAAGCTATAATCTATACCTATACAGAATGTAAGATTAGTAGATGGTTAGGTTGGGTGGTGCAGGGCACCTCACCAGGTATGTGTTTGACAGGCCAAACTATTGGCCTGAGGGAGAGATGGGGTGGGGAGGCTCTGAGATCTTCCCTGGGGCAGCTGGGAGTGTCCCAGAGAACCAGAAAATTGTCATTGTGAAACTAGGGACTATCCTAGATAAGGTATTGGTGCCTTTGAACTTTGTGCTTAGGATGTGCTAACAATTCTTGTAGAGACCAAGTAGGCACTTACGTTTTAGTTTGGGAAAGAAATAACCTACATAGCTCTCCTTTTCTTCAAAGCATAGGCACATTGGAATCTGCCTACGTGTTTATTAAGATATTCCAAAGGTCTGTCACACCTTTAGAAAAGGGGACATTTATTTTCTTTCTTTCTTTCTCTCTCTCTTTCTTTCTTTCTTTTTCTTCCCTCCCGTTCTCCCTTCCACCCACCCTCCCTTCCTTCCTTCCTTCCTTCCTTCCTTCCTTCCTTCCTTCCTTCCTTCCTTCCTTCCTTTCTCTCTCTCTCTCTCTCTCTCTCTCTCTCTCTTTCTTTCTTTCTTTCTTCTTTCCTTCTTTCTCTTCTCTTTTTTTTTTTTTTTTTTGAGACAAGGGTCTCACTATGTTGCCCAGGCTGGTCTTGAGCTCCTGAGCTCAAGTGATACACCAGCCTTGTCCTCCCAAAGGGCTGGGATTACACACATGAGCCACTGCACCCAGCCGAGGGGCATTTCTTTAAAAATGCAATCCTGAGTAGAAGATTCTATAACATCCACTCACTGTTGGCAAAGAGAGTGAGCTTTTTCTGAGTATCTTTTGCTGCAAAACCATTGAATTTCTGCCTGTTTCTAACAAGTTTGTGACATGAGAAAAGAGGCAGTATCGATTGAACCCACCAACTTTGTTGGGCTGCTGCTTCTGTTTATGGTACTTTAGTACAAGAGCTGGGAAATCATGATCCAGAATTTAAATATCAACACATTCCCTGTTGTGACCTTCACTATACTTTTACTCTTCCTTTATCGACCTCATTATAATGTGTAATCATTTGTTATTTGTGTCTGTTTGTTAGTTTGTATTAAGAGAACTGAATTGTGTCTTTCGTACTAGACCATAAATTCCATGGGAACAGGAATCTCTATCTTGATGACTTCTGTATCTGTTTGACCTAGAACCATCTTTGCATAGGGAGATGCTCAGTAAGCGTTCACAAGTGTCAATCACTGAGTCCTCGCTTCAGCCTGAAAGCAGTCATCATAATCACCTCCATTTTATAAATGAGGAAGCTGAGCACAGAGAGGTTAAGTAGTTTGCTAGTCACTAGTGGAGCCAGGATTTGAACCTAGCAGTTTGGATGGATTAACCATTACACTCTTCTGCCACAAATAAATGTTTGTTAAAAGAGTGAAGTCTCCATGGGGGCAGATTTGGAGTAGGCTTGGCTATGTGATATATGAATCACTCAGGCAGACGTATTTCGGTGAGCTGGGAAGTCCTCATCATGGTGTGTGCCTGAACTAGCCGGTAATAGGTGAGGGACTGGGGAGGGTGCGGTAAGTGAAGCAGGGAAGTCTGGTCAGAGGTACTTCAGAAGCCAAGGAAGTCTGGCTCTGGCCTGCTCTATTTCATACTACTCCTTTTTTTCTGATCAGGAGTTAAAGTCCAGGCTGTTTTTATTCCTGGAAGCAGAATGGCCTAAATGGGAGAAACCCTGAATGTATTTTCAAGGTTCCTGAAGCCAGACATAAGACTTGTGTGCTTTCTGACTGTGTAAGTGGTTCTAACCCTCTCTGATACCATTGACAAACAAGAGTATTCACGCTGACTTGTGACATGCTCGCTTTCTTAAATATGATTTTATTTTTCTAACTATGTCTTTGAGATTTTTTAAAGAACTAGGTCTTTACAATTATTCATGCCTATAGCTTTTGAAAAAGAAACCAACCAGTACAGAAGGATACAAAGTTAAAAAAAAAAAAAAAACAACAAAAAAAACTCATCCTTATTTATTTTTTCCAGGTGTCTTTTTTGTACATATCAGTACATATCAACCACCGTATACTCTCACATTTTTTTTCACATAAATGGGAACATACTATATGTTCTGAATTTTTTTCTTTTTAAAAAATTTTGGGGGACTGCCGGGTTATGGTAGCTTGAACATATAATTTTGTTGTACTGCTCAAACTGCAGAATGGAGGCTGGGTACAATGGTTCATGCCTGTAATCTCAGCACTTTGTGAGGCCGAAAGTGGGCAGATCACTTGAGCCCAGGAGTTCAAGACCAGCCTGGCCAACATGGGAAAACCCTGTCTCTACAAAAAATACAAAATTTAGCCGGGCATGTTGGCACATGTCTGTAGTCTCAGCTACTCAGAAGGCTGAGGCAGGAGGATTGCTTAAGCAGAAACACGTAAAGATATGGACCCTGTGCCATCCAGATCAGTCTGCAGTGAAGGTCAAAGTCAGTGAGTCCCATCCTCAAACTTAAAGCTTCCAATCAACATAGACAACCAGCTATGTAAGAACAGCATCTCACAGGAAAGTCCAAAATAAACAGAAAAGCAACTTGTGCAGGTAGAAGAAACATGACATTAATGTCCTCTTTGAAAATATTTCTTCATGCACAAGACTACGTCCTAGGAAATCCAACCTGTTCAAGCAGAAACCCATAAAGCTTCGACAATTCAGTAATAAATTCCCAGAAAGAAAGAGAGAACAGAGAACCTGGAGGAGATAACATTTTTCAGAACCTATGGGCATGGATTTTGAGATTAAAGAGTCCCAATGATTTTCAGTGCAATGGATGAAAAAATACCTCCAACATAATGTGAAATTGTATCACATTAGGAATAAGGAAGATTCTACAAGCTCCCAGAGAGAAAAAACAACAAAAAAAAACAAAACAGGTCACATGCAAGAGATCAGCAACTTCTCAGCAACAGCACTGAAAGCCAGAAGACAACAGACAATGCTTTCAACGTGTGAAAGACATTTATTTCCAACCTAGATTTCTATTGCAAGTCAAACTATGGATCAAGTGAGAAGGCAAAACAAAACAACACAAAACAAAAAAATAATTTCAGGCAGGCAACTCTAAAAAAAAATTAAAGTCTTTCTCAGGAAGCTCCTGGAGGATACATTTCATATAGATAATAAACAGAAAAAGCAACTTATGCAGGTAGAAGAAACATGACATTAATGTCCTCATGGAAAATATTTCTTCCATGCTGAAGACTTCATCCTAGAAAATCTGACCTGTGAAAGCAGAAATACATAAAGCTTCAACAAAGAAGGAGGAAGGCATGGAATACAGAAAGCAGAAGATCCATCACTGTGGAGAAGGGAAAGGGAATCTCCTGGAGAGTGGTCAAGGGAGATCCCAGCAAGACGATTACACATTGATTGAAGAGGGCAATCAGTACAGATTGGAACATCGTGACTCAGGAGGTGGCCTGAGAACTGTCATTCCCAAACTTTCTGCCATCGTACTTGTCTTTTTAAAAACTGGTAAGAAGTATATAATATAAAATTTAATATCCCCAAAATGTTAAAATTGTACTATTCAGTAGTGGTAAATATATTCACATTGTTGTGGAACAGATCTTTAGAACTTTTTAAAGTCTATGCCCATTGAACGATAACCTCCTAGTCCCCCTCCCCTTAGCCTGGTAACCACAATTCTACTTTCCATTTCTATCAATTTGACTACTTTAGATACCTCATCTAAGTGGATCCAGACAGTATTTGCTTTTGGTGACTGACTTATTTCACTTAGCATAAAGTCCTCAAGGTTAATCCATCTTGCAGCATGTGACAGATTTTCTTCCATGTTAAGGTTGAATAATATTCCATTGTGTGTATATATATATATATATATATATATACCATATTTCGATTATCTCTTTATTCACTGATGGACATTTAGGTTGCTTCCACCTCTTGACAATTGTCAATACTCTTGCTATGAATATGGATATGCAAATATCAATTTGAAATTCTGCTTTCAATTATTTTGAATCTCTACTCTGAAGTGAGGGGATTGCTGGATCATGTGGTACTACTATTTTTAATTTTGTGAGAAACCACCATACTGTTTTCCTTAGTGGTCGCACAATTTATAATCCCAGCAATAGCGCACAAGGGTTGTAATTTCTTCACATTTTCAGCAACACTTCTTTATTTTTTTATTGTAGCCATTCTAATTGGTACGAAGTGATATCACATTGTGGTTTTCATCTCCATTTCTCTAGTGATTAGTGATGCTGAGCTCCATAACTGTTGGCCATTTGTATATATTATCTTTGGTAAATATCTATATGAGTTCTTTGGTCATTTTAAAAATTGAGTTATTTGATGTTTTTGATGCTTAGTTGTAAGAGTTCTTTATATATTCTAGATATTAATTCCTTATCAGATATATGATTTGTAAATATTTTCTTTCATTTTGTAGGCTACCTTTCCATGATCTTATGTCTATTGATGCATAAAGTTGTAAAGTTGGTTGTAGTCCCGTTTGCCTATTTTTGCTTTTGTTGCCTGTGCTTTTGGTGTTACATTTAAGAAATTATCACTAAATAGGTGTCATGAAGATTTTTCCAAATTTCCTTTTTGTTTTCTTTTGTTTCTTTTAATTTTGTGGGATTTTTATTTTCCCTATCCTTTCTTCTAGGAGTTTTACTGTTTGGGTCTTATGTTTAATCTTTAATTCATTTGAGTTAATTTTTGTAGATAATGTAAGATACAGATCCAACTTCATAATATTTTATGATATGAAGTTATCATAATTGCTATAGTCTCTTTTTGATGGATACTTAAATTATTTCCAGATTTTTTTGCTATTTCAAATATTACTTTAATGAATATCTCTGAATATGGATCTATGCCATATTATACCTACAAGATAAATATCCAGAAGCGAGCTTTCTGGGACAAAGGGTATGTGCATTTACAGTTTTGATTGGTCTATCAGATTTCTTTTCTGAGAAGTTGCACTGCTTTATACTCCCACAAACAATATCTGCTTCTCCACACTTTGATCAACATTGAACAGTATCCTTTTTGTTTTGTTTTGTTTTTCTTGAGATAGAGTCTTGCTCTGTTTCCCAGGCTGGGGTGCAGTGGCGCGATGTCCGCTCACTGCAAACTCTGCGTCCAGGTTCAAATGATTTCCTGGCTCAGCCTCCCGCGTAGCTGGGATTACAGGCGCACGCCACCACGCCCAGCTAATTTTTGCATTTTATTTTTGGTAGATTACAGGGGTGATTACAGGCGTGATTACCTGGGATTACAGGCATGAGCCACCATGCCCGGCCTGAATATTATCCGTTTTTTAGTCCTCACTCTTCCTGTTATTTGTGGATATTGAATATCAGATGTTTAGTGTCCACTATATGTTCATATCCTTTGTTTTTCTTTGGCCTGCTGTCTTTCTAAATGATTTGTAAGAGTGGATAATTTCTTAATGAATCCTGAGGGCTGCTGTAAATGTCAAAAATGTTTGTTCTCCTAAAGAAAGACAAATCCGCCGGGCGTGGTGGCTCATGTCTGTAATCCCAGCACTTGGGAAGCCGAGGCGGGTGGATCACCTGAGGTCAGGAATTCGAGAGCAGCCTGACCAACATGGAGAGACCCTGTCTCTACTAAAAATACAAAAATTAGCCGGGCTTGGTGGCGCATGCTTGTAATCCCAGCTACTCGGGAGGCTGAGGCAGGAGAATCGCTTGAACTTGGGAGGTGGAGGTTGCGGTGAGCCGCAATTGTGCCATTGCATGAAAGAAAGAAAAGGAAAAAAGGAAGGAGGGAGGGAGGGAGGGAAGGAAGGAAGGAAGGAGGGAAGGAAACACAGGCAAGCAAGCAAAGAAAGATCCAGAAGTGTCTGATGAGGGCATAGGTGAGAATGCTAATATTGGCCACATTTCACATTTGGCAAAAAAAATGTCATTTAAATACATAAGACTACTTGTGTGCCAGAAATAAAAACAACCAATCAATCCTGCTAAAAGCTCAACAAATTATTAGGGTGATAATTGTTTTGAGGGAGAAAGTGATTTTGTGGCAAAAATTGATTTTTAGTTTTTAGATCTGTTACTTCTTTCCTGACCCGCTTGTTTAATTTTGTTATGAGTTTCCATAATTTGTCTTCAACCCCAACCTTATAAAAGTGCTGCCTCAACCAGTTCGTATATTTACACACGTGCATCCCCATTTGTATAAAAAACTAAGAGGCTGGGCGCGATGGCTTACGCCTGTGATCCCAGCACTTTGGGAAGCAAAGGCGGTTGGATCACGAGGTCAAGAGATTGAGACGATCCTGGCCAACACGGTGAAACCCCATCCCTACTAAAAATACAAAAAAATTAGCCGGGCGTGGTGGTACGTGCCTGTAGTCCCAGCTACTCGGGAGGCTGAGGCAGGAGAATTGCTTGAACCTGGAAAGCGGAAGTTGCAGTGAGCCGAGATTGCACCACTGCACTCCAGCCTGGCAATAGAGCGAAACTCTGTCTCAAAAAACAAACAAACAAAAAACACTAAGAAATGGTTTTCCTTTTCCACGTTACTCTTTCCCTTTACTCCCTAGCAGACAGTCTTCAGGAGCAGCAGCTGCTTCCAAGACAGAGTTTGGGCCGCTGAAGATATTCCTGGTCCTGCATGCAGCTAATGTTAATAGTCATTAGTATTCTGCCAAGGGAAAGAGTGATTTCTGATAAAGCAGTAGCTGGGGATAATTTACCTAAATAACTTCTGTTTCTTCTACGTTAATAGTAAGGTAACTTCGTAAAAGAAAAGAAGAGAAATGTGCCATAGGGTGGAGAGATATATGATGGATGTTTGTAACTTGCATCTATCAACACAGATAGGTAGTAAGTAAGAATCCAAAAATAAGCCTCTCTCTATTGTTTGTAGAAACACAGGACCAGAAAGCTCCATATAATGTCATAGAGTACATATCTTTATCACTAGGGAGGTTTCCCGTCCGCCGCCCCAGACAGTGGGTTGGGCATCCTCCTGTTCTTAAATATCTCTGGGGGCTCCATCACCATCTTCAGAAAACCATTTGGGTGCCAAACTCTCCTGCAAGTCAGGTTCTTGCTTCATTTAGTTGAGGTTGTTTGCTGTTGTATCCTATTATGAACATGGAAAGAAACCCGGCCACTATCTATAACCTAATAATCTTTCACTGGCTTCTTTTATCACTTCTATGCTATTTCTTCAAACTAAAATAATCCTCTACTGTGATGCAGTTTTTCCTCTCTACATTTGTGAATAATGTCAAAGCTCTGTTCTGACTTCTTTATCCATATGACACCCACATTATTCTTCTTTGGTGTTGAAATTTGCAATGGAACATTCAATTATTTGAACATAATTGAAGGTAGAAATGGACAGTGATGGTGGTGTTTCGTCATAACTACAAAATTTTATTTTTTATCTCTCCTGCTTCCAATCTCCATTCTCCAGCTCCAGCCATCAGGACAAGAGTACCAGCTCTTTAAAGGCCTTAAAATACAAATTCAACAAAATTTCTGATTGGGGCTAGGTGCAGTGTCTCACACTTATAATCCCAGCACTTTGGGAGACTGAGGTGGGCAGATCACTTGAGGTTGGGAGTTCCAGACCAGCGCGGCCAACATGATGAAACCCTGTCTCTATTAAAAATGCAAAAATTAGCCTGGTGTGGTGGCAGGTTATCTGTAATCACAGCTACTCAGGAGGCTGAGACAGGAGAACTGCTTGAACCTGGAAGGTGAGATTGTGGTGAGCGAGAATCATACCACTGCACTCCAGCCTGGGTGACAGAGTGAGACTCCATCTGAAAAATAAACAAAACACAAAATTTATGAGTGAGTGCTGGCATTGTGCCAAAATCTTTTTTCTTATAGAACCCTCAAAGGCAGAATATTCCATTGTTAAAATAGCATTCTGTGAAGGTCTTCCTCTATTGCTAACCTCTGAAGGCAGCATGAAAGATCACAGGAAATTGAAGAAGCATATACCATGGAATTAGAGCTTGATAAAATTTATTCTGCAGTTAACTTCCACATAATTATGTATAATACATTATTAATGATTTGCAATAGGGAACTGATATGTAGTTCCTGTTCTTCCTTGACTATGGCACTGGTGAGTCAAATTCTTGCCCAAAGATAGTTATGAGAATTGCCTCCCTTGCCTCCTGGCCCAGATCTCTGCTTGCATTTCTGTGTTTATGCTGCCCTGTTCTTGTGCTATGCTAGTCAGGGTTGGGGTGGCCAAGTTCTTGAATGAGGAATCTCATTTTCATCCTTTTGAAGTTTTTTAAGAGTTTTTGCCAACTGCATTGCTAAAGAGCCATCCTCTCATCAAAGGAGTCTGCAGTAAGGCAAATATTTGTTTCCTGTTACTGAGAAAGGACTACTCCTCTCTTTATTTACATGTTTGTTCTGTTTTGTTCTCTTTTCCTCCAGCAATCTGATATTGTGTTTTGTCTATTCCTTGGCTGGAAAAATGCTTCCTGGTTTTTTCCCCCCTTTTTCTTAAGAACAAATGTTGGCCCCCTATTTACAGAACATGCTCAACAGAAAAAATTTGGAAAACACCAAAAAGCACAAGGGAAAAGCTATTCATAATCTTAGTACCCGGAAGTCACCACCATTATCATTTTAGTATGTCTATATCTGTTTAGTCATCTATCTGATCTTTCTAGGCATTTTAATTTTTTTTTTACAAAAGAGCTATCATATCATGCTTCCTGTTCTATACATTTATTTTTTTGAGACGGAATCTCACTCTGTTGCCCAGGCTGGAGTGCAGTGGTACAATCTCAGCTCACCCCAACCTGCGCCTATGGGGTTCAAATGATTCTCTGGTCTCAGCCTCCCAGGTAGCTGGGATTGATTACAGGTACGTGCACCACGTCTGGCTAAGCTTTGTATTTTTTAGTAGAGAAATGGTTTCACCGTGTTGGCCAGGGTAGTCTCGAACTCCTGACCTCAGGTTATGCCCCCTCCCCCCACCCACCCACCACCTTGGCCTCCCAAAGTGCTGGGATTATAGGCATGAGCCACTGTGCCCAGCATGTTCTATACATTTCTAAATTTGGTAATATGCTAAACTCATCTTTCCATATTTTGATGTGAAGAACATATTCTGCAACACTATTTTATTAAGCTTAATAGATTTTATTAGCTCAATTTTATAAACATAGATATTTTTGTCTATCACATAATATTGCAATGAGTATGATTGTACAGACACCATTGTACTCATTTGACATTTTCTTCAGTATAAATTCCTAGAAGTGAAATATTAGGGTCAAAGGGTATGCACATTTTAAGACTTTGGATAATATGGCCACATTGCCCTTCTTGAAGGTGGAACCAGATTGGTTTCCCATCATCAATCAAGGGTCCATTTCTCTTTATTATGGCCAACACTGGGCACTTAACTTTTTAAAATCTTTATTGATTTGATGGGTATGAAGTAGTATCTCAATGTTTAATATGGCATTTCTTTGCTTATGAGTCTGAATTATTTACATTTATTTCATGGCCAGGTATACTTTTTGGTAATTTGCTTCTTTAAGTTGTTGTGCTTTGTCTATTTTGTTTGTCTTTTTCTCGTTTCTTTGTGTTTATAGACAAACTCCACTAACTCCCTGGCAACATGGCAGTAGTGGTTATCAGCCTGGAGTCCCACTGCCTGGGCCCAAATCCTACTATACCCTTAACAGCTGTGACCCTGGGTAAGTTAGCTTTGGTCAGTGCATACAACAGGAGAAAAAAAATCAAGTAAAATTAGGTCAAATGTTACTGTTGTCATGTGGCAGCTGTGTTACTGGGGATTAAGCAAATTGTCTATTATTCTGAATTTTGCTTCCTCTTTTGAAAATAAGGATAACAATATCTACAGGAGTTACAAATTTCCGAAATCTAAGAGGCATACAAAGACTGTATATATATATATACACACACACACACACATATATATATACACATATATATATATACATATATATATACACATATATATATACATATATATATACATATATATATATATACACACATATATATATATAGTCTTAACTCAGTTGCTCTCAAATTTTAAGGTTCATAAGAATCACCTAGAATGCTTTTAAAAATACAGATTCTTGGGTACTACTTTCAGAAATTCCTATTCAAAGAGGGTGAAATGGGGTCCAGAGATAAATAGTGGCCATTACATCAGTCAACCATGTCTCAAAACTATTAGGAATATAGAAATTCTGCTCAGAGCTAATACAACAAGGCCCTCCTGTTAGTTGTCCTAAGGTACTGTTGTTATGCAGAACAGTTCTCCTGGATTAATCACCAAGCCTATTTAGTTTGTTTAAATTGAGGAAAAAGAAACTGGTATTCTGACTGAGTTGGAAATGCAAATCTTTTATTGAATAAGATTTTGGTGTCAGCATCTATGATGCTGAGGGAATACATATTTTTAGTCTTTTGCTAGGACCCATATTTTATTCAAAAGCAATTAAGGAGTTTCTCCAAAGTTTTGTTGATTTGCTGCTGCAACTAAGTTCTTATCTGAAATTCTCTCTTTTCCACGTGGCTTAAGCCTACAAATTTGGGTGCTTTTAAAAGAAATTAAATATTTCTTATCATCAGGTTATATTATAAAGTATATAAATCTTCAGTTTAATTGAGAAGATATCTTTAGTTTAATTGAGAAGACATGCTTTGCGTTTATATCTGGGACATATTTATTCTAGTGGCATTAAGGAGACATGAACCGGGTACATGTGAAAATTATTGACTACCTAATTTTATTTAATTACTTGGTCTTACCTTTGTGCTGTTTTAGACTACAATTTTCCTGTTAGAGAACTGATCTTTTCATATACGGTAGGTTGGGTTTATCTTCCCTATACAAGTCCCATATATTCAAACATTAAATAAAAGTTATCACATTTCTAAGATTATGGATTTTATTGTAGTTTTTAGAAAGCAACCCCAAGTAGATGCTGGCAGCAGCAGTTTTTCACCCTGTTGCACCTCATGAAAGGGAATTTTCATTTACTTCAAAAGACATCTTTAAAAAAGCTCCAAATGCAGTGTACCTTAATTCATAAAAATTGAAAAGCAGGATGTAGATGAGGCTGTGAAATCAACCACTAGCACTGTGCCCAGTTGTAAAGGGACTGGAACAACTGAGACTGATACTGACGAATTGATTCAGATACTATCACAAGTAGGTGCCTAGATGGTGCGATTCCAGGTTCCCAAGTAATTCTCAGGTCAAGTGTCTTAGAGCCTAAAATTTACCCTTAGAGAAGACTTTTCCTCACTACATGGACCTTTTTCACAATTTCCTCGAGAGATGGTTTAATTAGTCTCTAATTCCTTGGTTTATCAGAAGGATTTCTGCCCAGATGAGACCAACACGGAGAATGGTAGTGAAAAATGAAGCGCTAAAGAGAAGAAAGAGCCCCCTTAAAGTATGAGAAGACCATGCTGGGCTTGACAAGTTTCTCCCAGCCAGACTTTTAGGCATTTCTGTCTCCTCTCCTTGTCTCACTTGACTCTGCTATTGTGTGTCCCCTGAACCAGATGGTCATTTATGAAAGGTTTTCTGAATTCCTAGAAGAAATTTTTATAGGTTGACTAAGCTTCTGCTTCCTCTCTGTGCATGTGCAGGTTCTGGTTTTTATCTGGGTCACTTGGAAACTTTGAGAAGCATTCTTTGTGGGAAGGTGGGTGTGATGATGAAGATGGTGATGATGATGGTTTTTTTTTTTTGAGACGGAGTTTCACTCTTGTTACCCAGGCTGGAGTGCAATGGTGTGATCTCAGCTCACCGCAACCTCCGCCTCCTGGGTTCAGGCAATTCTCCTGCCTCAGCCTCCTGTGTAGCTGGGATTACAGGCACGCGCCACCATGCCCAGCTAATTTTTTTTGTGTATTTTTAGTAGAGACGGGGTTTCACCTTGTTGACCAGGATGGTCTTGATCTCTTGACCTCGTGATCCACCCGCCTCGGCCTCCCAAAGTGCTGGGATTACAGGCTTGAGCCACCGCGCCCGGCTGATGATGCTTTTTGAATCACCCTCTGTTTGATACAGTAAAACTTGGGAACACTCCACCCACAATGATATGACATTGAATATAATGCTGTTGTCAATTGGCCCCCACCCTTATTTCAACTCTACTTCTTTGGTAGGGGCTGGAAAGTAACTTCTTTCTGATCATTTGACACTTGGTCAGTTCATTGATAAGTTAATTGCCTAAACATCTAATAAGTACAAATATTTTAAAATTTAAAGTATTATTTTTCAATGGCCTTATAGCATTATACTTCTGTACTTCACGGCATTAAAATTTTGGACTCGACTTGCCTACTACAGCATAGTTTAATTGTACTTTTGAATTTCGTATCCTGGCCGGGCTCAGTGACTCATGCCTGTAATCCCAGCACCTTGGGAGGCCAAGGTGGGCGACTGCTTGAGCCCAGGATTTTAAGACCAGTCTGGGACACATGGCGAAACCCCATCTGCAGAAAAATACAAAACCTAGCTGGGTGTGGTGGAACACATCTGTAGTCCCAGCTCCTTGGGAGGCTTAAGCCCGGGAGGCAGAGGTTGCAGTGAGCCGAGATTGCACCATTGCACTCCAGCCTGAGTGACAGAGCCAGACTCTGTCAAAAAAGAAAAAATTTGTAATCTGATGTTTTTCTTAGAATTTAAACCCTTCCCTGGCATTTTCCTTCCTTTCTTCACTCCTTTCTTTCTCTCATTCCCTAACACTCATTGCACCACAGGCACTTTCCTTAAGAAACTCCTAGTTGGGGTGGGGACTTTGGGAGAGAGTCTAACTGGCTTGTTAGGACTGATTGAACAGCATAGAGGGCTGTTGAAGCAAAGCACAGGTGACCTAACACCAACAATTCTCTTTTCCCTCTCAAGATTGTTAACACTAATCTTTAACTTGTTATTTTCACTTGAAAGCCCCATTTCTCAAGGAGTACCATACGCTACACCAGGTGCTTCATTCCCTTCCTCACTATCATAAAAAAATCTTCATGAATCGCTTGAGTGGTTTGTTACTATCTCAAGCTGCCATTTCATTTCCTTGGCCACTTCCCCAGATGCTTTGAGGTCTTCTGCTTCTCTTTCTCTCTTCTTGAGAAGCCTTAGTGGCAGAAGCTTCTATAGTTCTATTCCCTTGGAGACCTCTTCAGTTCTAATGATCCTTTTTTTCACTACTGCCTCTCACACCAACAGCCCTACCTTGGATTTTGCCATCTAGCAGGGCTGCTTCACCCTGCTCACACTCCATTCTGATCATGGCTTTGTTACTCCCTTTTTCATTACATCACCTCTTGGATCTCCCTGGGTTTTCCAGTTCCTTCCACTTCCCTGGCTTTCAAATAGAGTTGTCCTCTTTTGATTTCATTTTCTTTCCTGGGCATATGTAGACCTTATTTTATAGCCATCTGGGGCAGGTGTGTGTGTGTGTGTGCACGTGTGTGTGTTTGTGAGTAGGAATATGTGTTATATTTAATTTGTTTTAGATGACCTATTTTTATGGATAAGGAATGTATATACCTTAAAATGCACAAGTCTTAGATGTGCAACCTGAAGAGGTTTTACATATTTATCACCTGTGTAACCACTGCCCAGATCAAGATCTAGAACATTTCCATTACACCGTGGAACTCTGTCTAGCTCTTTTCCAGTCAGAAACTGCCCTTCATTTGTAACCACTGTCATAACTTCTAATAGCAGATGTTAGATTTTGCCTATTCTTGAGTTTCCTATGAATGGAGAATCTCTGCTCCATAGAAATCAAGATGTAAAGAAATTACATGTTACTGCTCATCACATGTTGGGAACTGGGTTTGACATATGTTCGTTAGTTACACTTGCACACACATACATGGTGATTATAATAAAGGGGAGGAAATCCCTTTCCCCACGTCACTGAGATCTTTGTCTTTTTCTCAGAGTTGTGAGTCCCCGGAACCTCACCTCTATCCCTCTTGACATCTTGTGCCATTTAGCTCAATGTCCTGATGCTCACATCCTCTTTGTCTCCCCTTGCACCCACCCCCAACCCTACACCCCCTGCCATGCAGCTCCATAAAAGGGAAATAGTCCTTCTGTGTCTTTCTCTGACTCTACCCTCACTCACAGAGTAATGCAACTGGGCCCAAGCAAAAACACGTATGCAAACAGCCACTGTGAAAACAACATCACGTGGCTGTAGGGCAAGCATGCTCTACCTTGATTTGAGCAGAGAAGGAAGCATAGTTTGCTGTAATTTTTTGCTTTGCATACTCCTTTAAGCCTTCCAATGTAATAATGTACAAGGTATTATTGGTCTAATTTGTCCAAACCTATGATGTATGAAAGAGAAGAAATAGTGTCAGCATCCAAAGGCAGAGCCAACCACATTTATTGTTTGTTTCAACCTCTTTGTAGTTTCTAGGTGACTTGCTTTTGTGTTCCCAGAACTCCATCCTGGGTCCTCTCTTCTCCTCCCTCCACTCACTCTCCCTGGGAAATTGCATCGTCATCTGCTGTGGTTTCAGCCATTACTCTGTATTCTCCATGGGTGTGACTGCCAAATATTTTCATCTCAACTCAACCTTGGACTGAGCCCTTGACCCTAGTCCATCCTTCCTGGATCTCTCCACTTGCATGTACTGCAGGCATCTCCAAGTCAATAAGTCCCAAACTGGACTCAGACTCTGCTCACCCTCTGTAGTCTATGTATTGATGAGGCAATGTCTCTCCTCACCTTTGCCAGTAAGTTCTGCCTAATTCTCTTTTCTCTGTTCCTTTCTCACCACATGCAAGATCACTGCCCTAGATCACACTCTCATAGCCCACCAGATCTTGCCTTAAATTCTTCCTGTTTATTCCCTTCCCTCTGTACTGTTCCTACTGCTGAGGGTGGGATTGGGGGTAAGAAGAGAGATCTTTCTGAAACAAGATCTGTTCATATCATTCTCTGAGTCATAACACTTCAGCGGGCTTGAGGGGTGTGGGGAAGATGTTGGTCAAAGGCTACAAAATTTCAGTTAGGAGGAATAAGTTCAAGAAATCTCTTGTACAACATGGTGGCTATAGTCATTAACATGTATTCTTAAAAATCTCTAGGAGAGTCAATTTTAAGTGTTCTCCCCACAAAAATATGTAAGCTAAGGCATATGTTAATTAACTCAATTTAGCCATTCCACAGTGTATACATATTTCAAAGCAATAAATATAGACAATTTTTGTCAATTAAGAAGAAATTAATTAAACAAAACAAAACAAAAACCTCAAATTGCTTCAGAGGTTCCCCATTTCAACCTGTTAATCCAGCATGTAATCCTTTCATAATCTGGTCTCTGCCTGCTTGATCAGATTTACTACCTGGCCTCTGTGTCTTGAAACTTTGAGTGTCAGTAGTGCTGAAATATCAGATATTTGTATGTCAGATACTAATAGACTGTATGCTATGCCCTGTGCTACCTTTTACTGTTCCTGAAATGCCCTCTTCCTACCCACCTGGGAAGAGTGGAATAGCCTCAATGCTATCTCCTTTGTGAGTCTTTCCTGACTCCCGCTCCCTTAAGCATAGGGTCCTCGGTCCCAAGGACACAAGGTAATGAATTCTGCAAACAACATGAGTGAACTTGAAAGCAGCTCCTAGGAGGCAAGTGCCTTCCAGTACTATAATTGCCTGCATTCTCTATCTCTTTCTCAGCTCTAAGATCCCAGAGGGCAGAATCTCTCATTTAGCTTTGCACAAGGAGATGCTCAGTATCCATTTGTTAACTGGATTAATGAATAAATAGAAAGAATGTAGCAGTGTCCTGGGTATTTCCCAAAAGTAGGACACCATTTCTACCCTCTTTAGACTTACTGTGGAAAGAATGATGAAAGCGAGAAAGGTAAGAGACCAGCAGTAAGCAGCTACTCTCTGGGAATATGTGCCTCCATTGAGGTGTGGTGGAGCATGATTCCAGGAAACTACCTTCTCTTTTTGATTAATTGGTGGAGCTATGACCACTGGTAGGGCTGGGGCTTCAGGTACTGGGGCCAGGGTAGTAGTGAGGAAGACTGTTAATAGGGTGGGGATGGGTTTTCCAGACATGTGGGTGTGTTTTTGGAAGACTCCTGTGCATGAGTAGAATGTTGCTAGGAAGACGGTTATGACAGATTTGGCCCACACAGTGACAAGGTTGGCAGGAGAGGTGTGAGATAGGCAGTGAGATGGTAAATAATTCAGGGCTCACTGATAGAGACACAGCCCACATTGCTTGTGCTGAGTTCCCTTCAAGTGTGCTCAGATATTCTACCCTTGGGGATCATATCGAATTCATCTGTTACATCATAAGGGCTGACCTATCATAATTGTCAACTAACTGATTTCTTTCCCCAGCACCACTGAGACAGAAGTTAAGTCAGGAAAAGCTTAATATGTATACACACACACACACACACACACACACACAAAATCATTCGAGAGCTCATGGTATTTTAACTGATAAGGAATGTAAACCACACTTTTTGAGACCATACTGGGAGAGGTCATTTGATATCATCTGTAAGGTTTCATTATTTTCCTCTGGGATGGAGGCAGGTTAATGTGTAAGTGCACACACATCCTCAAACATATGTGTGCTCAGCTATATAAAGCACAAAGCTTGCAAACTTCCTGATGGCATTATTAGCTCCTTATAAAAGAAGTAATTGAGGGCTGGGCGCAGTGGCTCACTCCTGTAATCCCAGCACTT